AAGCAAATAAAAAAATAATAATAATAATAAAAATAATAATAATAATAAAATAAAATAATAATAAAAATAATAATAATAATAATAAAAATAATAATAAAAAAAAATAATAATGATATAAAAATAATAATAAAAAATAAAAATAAAAATAAAAATAAAAATAAAAATAATAATAATAAAAATAATAATAATAAAATAAATAATAATAATAAAAATAATAATAATATAAAAATAATAATAATAATAAAATAATAATAATAATAAAAATAATAATAATAATAAAAATAATAATAAAAATAAAAATAATAATAAAATAATAATAATAATAAAATAATAATAATAATAAAAATAATAATAATAATAAAAATAATAATAATAAAAATAATAATAATAATAATAAAAATAATAATAATAATAATAAAAATAGTAATAATAATAAAAATAATAATAATAATAATAAAAATAGTAATAATAATAAAAATAATAATAGTAATTCTTGCTAAATGTCTTGCTAAAATATTCGCATTAAAATTGCAGATTTGCTTGTCAGTGGAAGCAGCGGAAGAGTCCAAGCGTTTTTCTCCCTCTCTCTTGACAACTCCTTAATTCAATTGTATTGTGTTCCATCTTAAGAAAGCTTAAACAGTCTTCAAAATATATATAATGTTAAACTTATTTCTCCAAATCGTCTCTATTCTTTATAGAATCATTTTATATATTTAAACTCAAAATTCAGTGCATTGTTTGAGTTTGGAAAGTTATTTTTTTTTGAGTTATTAAGGATGGTGGGGGTGGAGGGTTATTGGTGGGGGTTGTGGGTTAGGGGGAGGGTTGTGGGTAGGTTAGGGGGGGTGGTGGGGGTAGATAGGGGAGGGGTGAGAAGGGGGGACTATTTTATTTCGTGGGAGAAAGTTTCTTTTCTCATTTCTTTTGTCAGTTTCGATTTTTGTTTCAAAGAAAGATTTGTTGAAATATGAAAATGATTTCTTCTGTGCTTTTCCTTGACTCACCCTGGCCTCTCTCTCACTCACCCTGGCCTCTCACTCACTCACCCTGGCCTCTCTCTCACTCACCCTGGCCTCTCTCTCACTCACCCTGGCCTCTCTCTCACTCACCCTGGCCTCTCTCTCACTCACCCTGGCCTCTCCCTGCCCCACCCTGGCCTCTCTCTCACTCACCCTGGCCTCTCTCTCACTCACCCTGGCCTCTCTCTCACTCACCCTGGCCTCTCTCTCACTCACCCTGGCCTCTCACTCACTCACCCTGGCCTCTCCCTGCCCTCACACCCTGGCCTCTCACTCACTCACCCCCTGGCCTCTCTCTCACTCACCCTGGCCTCTCACTCACTCACCCTGGCCTCTCTCTCACTCACCCTGGCCTCTCTCTCACTCACCCTGGCCTCTCTCTCACTCACCCTGGCCTCTCTCTCACTCACCCTGGCCTCTCCCTGCCCCACCCTGGCCTCTCACTCACTCACCCTGGCCTCTCTCTCACTCACCCTGGCCTCTCTCTCACTCACCCTGGCCTCTCTCTCACTCACCCTGGCCTCTCACTCACTCACCTGGCCTCTCCCTGCCCCACCCTGGCCTCTCACTCACTCACCCTGGCCTCTCTCTCACTCACCCTGGCCTCTCTCTCACTCACCCTGGCCTCTCTCTCACTCACCCTGGCCTCTCTCTCACTCACCCTGGCCTCTCTCTCACTCACCCTGGCCTCTCACTCACTCACCCTGGCCTCTCCCTGCCCCACCCTGGCCTCTCCCTCACTCACCTGGCCTCTCTCTCACTCACCCTGGCCTCTCACTCACTCACCTGGCCTCTCACTCACTCACCCTGGCCTCTCCCTGCCCCACCCTGGCCTCTCCCTCACTCACCCTGGCCTCTCTCTCACTCACCCTGGCCTCTCACTCACCCTGGTCTCTCACTGCCCCACCCTGGCCTCTCCCTCACTCACCCTGGCCTCTCCCTCACTCACCCTGGTCTCTCACTGCCCCACCCTGGCCTCTCCCTCACTCACCCTGGCCTCTCCCTCACTCACCCTGGCCTCTCACTGCCCCACCCTGGCCTCTCCCTGCCCCACCCCGGCCTCTCCCTCACTCACCCTGGCCTCTCCCTCACTCACCCTGGCCTCTCCCTGACTCACCCTGGCCTCTCCCTCACTCACCCTGGCCTCTCACTGCCCCACCCGGCCTCTCACTGCCCCACCCTGGCCTCTCACTACCCCACCATGGCCTCTCCCTCACTCACCCTGGCCTCTCCCTCACTCACCCTGGCGCTCCCTGTCCCACCCCGGCCTCTCCCTCACTCACCCTGGCCTCTCCCTCACTCACCCTGGCCTCTCCCTCACTCACCCTGGCCTCTCCCTGCCCCACCCGGCATCTCCCTGACTCACCCTGACCTCTCACTACCCCACCATGGCCTCTCCCTCACTCACCCTGGCCTCTAACTGCCTCACCCTGGCACTCTCCCTCACTCACCCTGGCCTCTCCCTGTCCCACCCCGGCCTCTCCCTCACTCACCCTGGCCTCTCCCTCACTTACCCTGGCCTCTCCCTGCCCCACCCGGCCTCTCCCTGACTCGCCCTGACCTCTCACTACCCCACCATGGCCTCTCCCTCACTCACCCTGGCCTCTAACTGCCTCACCCTGGCCTCTCCCTCACTCACCCTGGCCTCTAACTGCCCCATCCTGACCTCTCCCTGCCCCACCCTGGCCTCTCACTACCCCCACCCTGGCCTCTCCCTCACTCACCCTGGCCTCTCCCTCACTCACCCTGGCCTCTAACTGCCCCACCCTGGCCTCTCACTACCCCACCCTGGCCTCTCACTGCCCCACCCTGGCCTCTCCCTCACTCACCCTGGCCTCTCCCTGCCCCACCCTGGCCTCTCCCTGCCCCACCCTGGCCTCTCACTGGCCCACCCTGGCCTCTCCCTCACTCACCCTGGCCTCTCACTACCCCACCCTGGCCTCTCACTGCCCCACCCTGGCCTCTCCCTCACTCACCCTGGCCTCTCCCTGCCCCACCCTGGCCTCTCCCTGCCCCACCCTGGCCTCTCCCTGCCCCACCCTGGCCTCTCACTACCCCACCCTGGCCTCTCACTGCCCCACCCTGGCCTCTCCCTCACTCACCCTGGCCTCTCCCTGACTCACCCTGGCCTCTCACTGCCCCACCCTGGTCTCTCCCTGCCCCACCCTGGCCTCTCCCTGCCCCACCCTGGCCTCTCACTACCCCACCCTGGCCTCTCCCTCACTCACCCTGGCCTCTCCCTCACTCACCCTGGCCTCTCCCTCACTCATCCTGGCCTCTCACTCACTCACCCTGGCCTCTCACTGCCCCACCCTGGCCTCTCCCTCACTCACCCTGGCCTCTCCCTCACTCACCCTGGCCTCTCCCTCACTCACCCTGGCCTCTCACTCACCCTGGCCTCTCACTGCCCCACCCTGGCCTCTCCCTCACTCACCCTGGCCTCTCCCTCACTCACCCTGGCCTCTCCCTCACTCACCCTGGCCTCTCCCTCACTCACCCTGGCCTCTCCCTCACTCACCCTGGCCTCTCCCTCACTCACCCTGGCCTCTCACTGCCCCACCCTGGCCTCTCCCTCACTCACCCTGGCCTCTCCCTCACTCACCCTGGCCTCTCCCACACTCACCCTGCCCTCTCCCTCACTCACCCTGGCCTCTCCCTCACTCACCCTGGCCTCTCACTCACCCTGGCCTCTCACTGCCCCACCCTGGCCTCTCACTCACTCACCCTGGCCTCTCCCTCACTCACCCTGGCCTCTCTCTCACTCACCCTGGCCTCTCCCTCACTCACCCTGGCCTCTCCCTCACTCACCCTGGCCTCTCCCTCACTCACCCTGGCCTCTCCCTCACTCACCCTGGCCTCTCCCTCACTCACCCTGGCCTCTCCCTCACTCACCCTGGCCTCTCACTCACCCTGGCCTCTCACTGCCCCACCCTGCCCTCTCCCTCACTCACCCTGGCCTCTCCCTCACTCACCCTGGCCTCTCCCTCACCACCCTGGCCTCTCCCTCACTCACCCTGGTCTCTCCCTCACTCACCCTGGCCTCTCCCTCACTCACCCTGGCCTCTCACTCACCCTGGCCTCTCCCTCACTCACCCTGGCCTCTCCCTCACTCACCCTGGCCTCTCCCTCACCCACCCTGGCCTCTCCCTCACTCACCCTGGCCTCTCCCTCACTCACCCTGGCCTCTCACTGCCCCACCCTGGCCTCTCCCTGCCCCACCCTGGCCTCTCCCTGCCCCACCCTGGCCTCTCACTACCCCACCCTGGCCTCTCCCTCACTCACCCTGGCCTCTCCCTCACTCATCCTGGCCTCTCACTCACTCACCCTGGCCTCTCACTGCCCCACCCTGGCCTCTCCCTCACTCACCCTGGCCTCTCCCTTACTCACCCTGACCTCTCACTCACCCTGGCCTCTCACTCACCCTGGCCTCTCCCTCACTCACCCTGGCCTCTCACTCACCCTGGCCTCTCCCTCACTCACCCTGGCCTCTCCCTCACTCACCCTGGCCTCTCACTCACCCTGGCCTCTCCCTCACTCACCCTGGCCTCTCACTCACTCACCCTGGCCTCTCCCTCACTCACCCTGGCCTCTCACTCACCCTGGCCTCTCACTGCCCCACCCTGGCCTCTCACTACCCACCCTGGCCTCTCCCTCACTCACCCTGGCCTCTCCCTCACTCACCCTGGCCTCTCCCTCACTCACCCTGGCCTCTCCCTCACTCACCCTGGCCTCTCCCTCACTCACCCTGGCCTCTCACTCACCCTGGCCTCTCACTGCCCCACCCTGGTCTCTCCCTCACTCACCCTGGCCTCTCACTCACCCTGGCCTCTCACTGCCCCACCCTGGCCTCTCACTCACCCTGGCCTCTCACTGCCCCACCCTGGCCTCTCACTCACCCTGGCCTCTCCCTCACTCACCCTGGCCTCTCCCTCACTCACCCTGGCCTCTCCCTCACTCACCCTGGCCTCTCCCTGACAGCTGTCAGAGTCAGACGAGCACGTGGTGACCTTGCGGGAGCTGAGGATGGACTCTGAGGGCGCCTACCGCTGTGAGGTGATGAGTGAGTCCCCGACCTTCCAGACCTCCTTGGCCTCCAAGAACCTCACTGTTGTGGGTGAGTCTCACTGTTGTGGGTGTCACTGTTGTGTCACTGTTGTGGGTGAGTGTCACTGTTGTGGGCGAGTGTCACTGTTGTGTCACTGTTGTGAGTGTCACTGTTGTGAGTGTCACTGTTTTGAGTGCCACTGTTGTGAGTGTCACTGTTTTGTCACTGTTGTGAGTGTTACTGTTGTGAGTGTTACTGTTGTGAGTGTTACTGTTGTGAGTGTCACTGTTTGTGAGTGTCACTGTTGTGAGTGTTACTGTTGTGGGTGTCACTGTTGTGAGTGTTAATGTTGTGTCACTGTTGTGGGTGTCACTGTTAAGAGTGTTACTGTTGTGAGTGTCACTGTTGTGAGTGTCACTGTTGTGAGTGTTACTGTTGGGGGTGTCACTGTTGTGAGTGTTACTGTTGTGTCACTGTTGTGGGTGTCACTGTTAAGAAGAGTGTTACTGTTGTGAGTGTCACTGTTGTGAGTGTTACTGTTGTGTCACTGTTGTGAGTGTCACTGTTGTGAGTGTTACTGTTGTCACTGTTGTGGGTGTCACTGTTGTGAGTGTCACTGTTGTGAGTGTCACTGTTGTGAGTGTCACTGTTGTGAGTGTTACTGTTGTGTCACTGTTGTGAGTGTCACTGTTGTGAGTGTTACTGTTTGTGTCACTGTTGTGGGTGTCACTGTTGTGAGTGTTACTGTTGTGAGTGTCACTGTTGTGGGTGTCACTGTTGTGAGTGTCACTGTTGTGAGTGTTACTGTTGTGAGTGTCACTGTTGTGAGTGTCACTGTTGTGAGTGTCACTGTTGTGAGTGTCACTGTTGTGAGTGTCACTGTTGTGAGTGTCACTGTTGTGTCACTGTTGTGAGTGTCACTGTTGTGAGTGTCACTGTTGTGGGTGTCACTGTTGTGTCACTGTTGTGAGTGTCACTGTTGTGGGTGTCACTGTTGTGAGTGTCACTCTTGTGAGTGTTACTGTTGTGAGTGTCACTGTTGTGAGTGTCACTGTTGTGAGTGTCACTGTTGTGAGTGTCACTGTTGTGAGTGTTACTGTTGTGAGTGTCACTGTTGTGAGTGTCACTGTTGTGGGTGTCACTGTTGTGAGTCACTGTTGTGAGTGTTACTGTGTGAGTGTCACTGTTGTGAGTGTCACTGTTGTGTCACTGTTGTGGGTGTCACTGTTGTGAGTGTTACTGTTGTGAGTGTCACTGTTGTGAGTGTCACTGTTGTGAGTGTCACTGTTGTGAGTGTCACTGTTGTGAGTGTCACTGTTGTGAGTGTCACTGTTGTGAGTGTTACTGTTGTGAGTGTTACTGTTGTGAGTGTCACTGTTGTGAGTGTTACTGTTGTGTCACTGTTGTGGGTGTCACTGTTGTGAGTGTTACTGTTGTGAGTGTCACTGTTGTGTCACTGTTGTGAGTGTTACTGTTGTGAGTGTCACTGTTGTGTCACTGTTGTGAGTGTTACTGTTGTGAGTGTCACTGTTGTGAGTGTTACTGTTGTGTCACTGTTGTGAGTGTCACTGTTGTGAGTGTTACTGTTGTGTCACTGTTGTGGGTGTCACTGTTGTGAGTGTTACTGTTGTGAGTGTCACTGTTGTGAGTGTCACTGTTGTGAGTGTCACTGTTGTGAGTGTCACTGTTGTGAGTGTCACTGTTGTGAGTGTTACTGTTGTGAGTGTCACTGTTGTGAGTGTCACTGTTGTGAGTGTTACTGCTGTGAGTGTCACTGTTGTGAGTGTCACTCTTGTGAGTGTCACTGTTGTGAGTGTCACTGTTGTGAGTGTCACTGTTGTGGGTGCCACTGTTGTGAGTGTCACTGTTGTGAGTGTTACTGTTGTGAGTGTCACTGTTGTGGGAGTCACTGTTGTGAGTGTCACTGTTGTGAGTGTCACTGTTGTGAGTGTCACTCTTGTGAGTGTTACTGTTGTGAGTGTCACTGTTGTGAGTGTCACTGTTGTGAGTGACACTGTTGTGAGTGTCACTGTTGTGAGTGTCACTGTTGTGAGTGTTACTGTTGTGAGTGTCACTGTTGTGAGTGTCACTGTTGTGGGTGTCACTGTTGTGAGTGTCACTGTTGTGAGTGTTACTGTTGTGAGTGTCACTGTTGTGAGTGTCACTGTTGTGAGTGTCACTGTTGTGAGTGTCACTCTTGTGAGTGTTACTGTTGTGAGTGTCACTGTTGTGAGTGTCACTGTTGTGAGTGTCACTGTTGTGAGTGACACTGTTGTGAGTGTCACTATTGTGAGTGTTACTGTTGTGAGTGTCACTGTTGTGAGTGTCACTGTTGTGGGTGTCACTGTTGTGAGTGTCACTGTTGTGAGTGTTACTGTTGTGAGTGTCACTGTTGTGAGTGTCACTGTTGTGAGTGTCACTGCTGTGGGTGTCACTGTTGTGAGTGTTACTGTTGTGAGTGTCACTGTTGTGAGTGTCACTGTTGTGAGTGTCACTGTTGTGAGTGTCACTGTTGTGAGTGTCACTGTTGTGAGTGTCACTGTTGTGGGTGTCACTGTTGTGATTGTTACTGTTGTGAGTGTTACTGTTGTGAGTGTTACTGTTGTGAGTGTCACTGTTGTGAGTGTTACTGTTGTGAGTGTCACTGTTGTGAGTGTCACTGTTGTGGGTGTCACTGTTGTGAGTGTTACTGTTGTGAGTGTCACTGTTGTGAGTGTCACTGTTGTGAGTGTCACTGTTGTGAGTGTTACTGTTGTGAGTGTTACTGTTGTGAGTGTTACTGTTGTGAGTGTTACTGTTGTGAGTGTTACTGTTGTGAGTGTCACTGTTGTGAGTGTCACTGTTGTGGGTGTCACTGTTGTGAGTGTCACTGTTGTGAGTGTTACTGTTGTGAGTGTCACTGTTGTGAGTGTCACTGTTGTGGGTGTCACTGTTGTGATTGTTACTGTTGTGAGTGTTACTGTTGTGAGTGTTACTGTGTGAGTGTCACTGTTGTGAGTGTTACTGTTGTGAGTGTCACTGTTGTGAGTGTCACTGTTGTGAGTGTCACTGTTGTGAGTGTCACTGTTGTGGGTGTCACTGTTGTGAGTGTTACTGTTGTGAGTGTCACTGTTGTGAGTGCACTGTTGTGAGTGTCACTGTTGTGAGTGTCACTGTTGTGAGTGTCACTGTTGTGAGTGTCACTGTTGTGAGTGTTACTGCTGTGAGTGTTACTGTTGTGAGTGTTACTGTTGTGAGTGTCACTGTTGTGAGTGTCACTGTTGTGGGTGTCACTGTTGTGAGTATACTGTTGTGAGTGTCACTGTTGTGAGTGTTACTGCTGTGAGTGTCACTGTTGTGGGTGTCACTGTTGTGAGTGTTACTGTTGTGAGTGTCACTGTTGTGAGTGTCACTGTTGTGTTACTGTTGTGAGTGTTACTGTTGTGAGTGTTACTGTTGTGAGTGTTACTGTTGTGAGTGTTACTGTTGTGAGTGTTACTGTTGTGAGTGTCACTGTTGTGAGTGTCACTGTTGTGAGTGTCACTGTTGTGGGTGTCACTGTTGTGAGTGTCACTGTTGTGAGTGTTACTGTTGTGAGTGTCACTGTTGTGAGTGTCACTGTTGTGGGTGTCACTGTTGTGATTGTTACTGTTGTGAGTGTTACTGTTGTGAGTGTCACTGTTGTGTCACTGTTGTGAGTGTTATTGTTGTGTCACTGTTGTGGGTGTCACTGTTGTGGGTGTCACTGTTGTGAGTGTTACTGTTGTGTCACTGTTGTGGGTGTCACTGTTGTGAGTGTTACTGTTCTGAGTGTCACTGTTGTGGGTGTCACTGTTGTGAGTGTTACTGTTGTGAGTGTCACTGTTGTGAGTGTCACTGTTGTGAGTGTCACTGTTGTGAGTGTCACTGTTGTGAGTGTTACTGTTGTGAGTGTTACTGTTGTGAGTGTCACTGTTGTGAGTGTCACTGTTGTGAGTGTCACTGTTGTGAGTGTCACTGTTGTGGGTGTCACTGTTGTGAGTGTTACTGTTGTGAGTGTCACTGTTGTGAGTGTCACTGTTGTGGGTGTCACTGTTGTGAGTGTTAGTGTTGTGAGTGTACTGTTGTGAGTGTTACTGTTGTGAGTGTCACTGTTGTTAGTGTCACTGTTGTGTCACTGTTGTGAGTGTTACTGTTGTGTCACTGTTGTGGGTGTCACTGTTGTGAGTGTGCTGTTGTGTCACTGTTGTGGGTGTCACTGTTGTGAGTGTCACTGTTGTGAGTGTCACTGTTGTGAGTGTCACTGTTGTGAGTGTCACTGTTGTGGGTGTCACTGTTGTGAGTGTCACTGTTGTGAGTGTTACTGTTGTGAGTGTCACTGTTGTGAGTGTCACTGTTGTGAGTGTCACTGTTGTGAGTGTCACTGTTGTGAGTGTCACTGTTGTGAGTGTTACTGTTGTGAGTGTCACTGTTGTGAGTGTTACTGTTGTGAGTGTTATTGTTGTCACTGTTGTGGGTGTCACTGTTGTGAGTGTTACTGCTGTGAGTGTCACTGTTGTGAGTGTCACTGTTGTAAGTGTTACTGCTGTGAGTGTCACTGTTGTGTCACTGTTGTGAGTGTCACTGTTGTGAGTGTCACTGTTGTGAGTGTTACTGTTGTGTCACTGTTGTGAGTGTCACTGTTGTTGAGTGACACTGTTGTGAGTGTCACTGTTGTGAGTGTTACTGTTGTGAGTGTCACTGTTGTTGAGTGTTATTGTTGTGAGTGTCACTGTTGTGAGTGTTACTGTTGTGTCACTGTTGTGGGTGTCACTGTTGTGAGTGTTACTGTTGTGAGTGTCACTGTTGTGAGTGTCACTGTTGTGAGTGTCACTGTTGTGAGTGTCACTGTTGTGAGTGTCACTGTTGTGAGTGTCACTGTTGTGAGTGTCACTGTTGTGAGTGTTATTGTTGTCACTGTTGTGGGTGTCACTGTTGTGAGTGTTACTGCTGTGAGTGTCACTGTTGTGGGTGTCACTGTTGTGAGTGTTACTGCTGTGAGTGTCACTGTTGTGAGTGTCACTGTTGTGAGTGTCACTGTTGTGAGTGTTACTGTTGTGTCACTGTTGTGAGTGTCACTGTTGTTGAGTGACACTGTTGTGAGTGTCACTGTTGTGAGTGTTACTGTTGTGAGTGTCACTGTTGTTGAGTGTTATTGTTGTGAGTGTCACTGTTGTGAGTGTTACTGTTGTGTCACTGTTGTGGGTGTCACTGTTGTGAGTGTTACTGTTGTGAGTGTCACTGTTGTGAGTGTCACTGTTGTGAGTGTTACTGTTGTGTCACTGTTGTGAGTGTCACTGTTGTGAGTGTTACTGTTGTGAGTGTCACTGTTGTGAGTGTCACTGTTGTGAGTGACACTGTTGTGAGTGTCACTGTTGTGAGTGTTACTGTTTTGGGTGTTACTGTTGTGGGTGTCACTGTTGTGAGTGTCACTGTTGTGAGTGTCACTGTTGTGGGTGTCACTGTTGTGGGCGAGTGTCACTGTTGTGGGTGAGTGTCACTGTTGTGAGTGTTACAGTTGTGTCACTGTCGTGAGTGAGTGTCACTGTTGTGGGCGAGTGTCACTGTTGTGAGTGTTACAGTTGTGTTACTGTCGTGAGTGAGTGTCACTGTCGTGGGTGAGTGTCAGTCACTGTCTGAAGTCAGTCGCAGGACCTGAAATCAAGTGCCATGGGTTGCCGTTGCAGTGTTGCCGGAGGCGCCGGTGTTGACGGGGCTGCGCGGCGGGTATCGAGTGGGGGACACCCTCAACGTGACGTGCACCGCCCGCAACGCCAGGCCCGCGGCAACCCTCTCCTTCTACGTCAACAGCAAGCTCGTCCACGTAAGCATTTATTGTTGTTTAAGATTTGCTACTTGGAAGAAAAATTTCCAAGCAGCACGGTCTATGGCGAGCCCATAGTCAACACGTAAGCAGCTGCCCGGGAAATATATATATATATATATATATATATATATATATATATATATATATATATATCAATATTATGGGTAACCAACTTTACCTGGGTCTTTTCCCTCTTCCCCCCCCCCCCTCATCCTCCTCCTCTTCCTCTTCTTTGCTTTTCTTCTCTCAGACAATTTATTCTTAAGATTCACTGAAACAACTCTCTGGGTTTCTCAGAAAATATAGTTACAAAGGATTTAAAACTCTAGGGGGAACACACCAAATATTCTACTTGACTCCTTGAAAATCCGCATGAGGATCTCAATGCATGTTTCTTACGGCCTTTAACTTGAGCCGACACCTGACCAGCCTATGTCCGTCCCATACCCCAAAGCATTCCCTCCCTGCAAAACTGAATGAGACTACCCCAGGTATCTGGCCCTCCATCTTGGACATATAAACAGTCTCATTAATAATAAATGATAATTAATACTGTTTATTGTTATTGTTATTTTTATTATTATTATCATCACTGTTGTATCAAGACCAGCACATTGTTTATTGTACTGGGTGACGTATTAAACGTTTAGGGGTGTTTTTAGCGAAGGATAGACATGTGCATGACTGACTGTAATAAATAAGAGCTGCCTTATATTGGTCAAAATGGATTTCTGCAGCTACTTAACCCCATTTTTTTACTCCTCTCTCTTTCCTGTTGATGCCTCGACCTCTACGTTGATGCCTCGACCTCTACGTTGATGCCTCGACCTCTACGTTGATGCCTCTACCTCTACGTTGATGCCTCTACCTCTACGTTGATGCCTCGACCTCTACGTTGATGCCTCGACCTCTACGTTGATGCCTCTACCTCTACGTTGATGCCTCGACCTCTACGTTGATGCCTCTACCTCTACGTTGATGCCCTCTACGTTGATGCCTCGACCTCTACGTTGATGCCTCGACCTCTACGTTGATGCCTCGACCTCTACGTTGATGCCTCGACCTCTACGTTGATGCCTCTACCTCTACGTTGATGCCTCGACCTCTACGTTGATGCCTCGACCTCTACGTTGATGCCTCGACCTCTACGTCGATGCCTCGACCTCTACGTTGATGCCTCGACCTCTACGTTGATGCCTCGACCTCTACGTTGATGCCTCGACCTCTACGTTGATGCCTCGACCTCTACGTTGATGCCTCGACCTCTACGTTGATGCCTCGACCTGTCCATTGATGCCCCGCCCTGCCCCTTTGACACCCGCCCCCCGTCGCCACAGCCCGGGTCCGGCAGGGTACAGGAATTCCCAGCAACAGACGGCAGCTACCCTGGAGTGTACAGTAGTAGGAGTCGGCTGGTCCTGCCCCTCTCGGAGCGCCACGCCCCCACGCTCACCCTCACCTGCTACGCCCACGTCCTCAACCTCTCCTTCAAGATCGCCGCCGCCCTCGAGGTCGAGCCCCCCAGAGGCCCTATACTCTCCTTCTTTAACGCAGGTGAGGCAACAGGGGGGAGGCAACAGGGGGGAGGCAACAGAGGGAGGCAACAGGGGGGAGGCAACAGAGGGAGGCAACAGGGGGGAGGCAACAGGGGGAGGCAACAGGGGGGAGGCAACAGGGAGAGGCAACAGGGGGAGGCAACAGGGGAGGCAACAGGGAGGAGGCAACATTGGGAGGCAACAGGGTGGAGGAAACAGGGGAAGGCAACAGAGGGTGGAGGCAACAGGGGAAGGCAACAGGGGGAGGCAACAGGGGGGAGGCAACAAATGGAGGCAACAGGGGGAGGTAATAGTGGAGGCAACAGGGTGGAGGCAACAGGGTGGAGGCAACAGGGGAAGGCAACAGGGGGAGCAACGGTAGCGAAGGGGAAGGTAACGGAGGTAAGTTTAACTCAACAGGGACAAGTTCAAAACAACAGTATTGTATTAGTGTTGTTGCTTCAGTCAGTTACTCGGACCAAAAATTCCAAGTAGCACTGGCTATGGTGATCCCGTAGTGAACTTACCTGACACAGGAGCGGGCCTGCGGGTCAGTGTACAGTGATTTAGGTGACTTTAAGAAGGCCTCGGTGAACTGGGTGGGGTAGTGAGAGGCCAGGGTGGGGCAGTTAGAGGCCAGGGTGAGTGAGGGAGAGGCCAGGGTGAGTGAGGGAGAGGCCAGGGTGAGTGAGGGAGAGGCCAGGGTGAGTGAGGGAGAGGCCAGGGTGAGTGAGGGAGAGGCCAGGGTGAGGTGCAGGAGATGAGTGAGAGTTGGGGGTGAACATGTGGGTGATTCGGGTAATGTTGACGGTAATTTAGAACGTAGTTTGGTTGTTAGGAACTTTGAAGTAAGCTCAAGATAATACTCAAGTGAGTTGAGAATGATTTACTTGGCTTCAAAAGATAGTTTCATTTGCGATTATGGCTGATGAGGATGACTCAGGTGATGGTGATTCAGACGAGCTTAATGATGATTCAGGGCAATTGAAGATGATTCCCGTGGGATGAAAGTGATTTATGAGAGCTGAAAATATTTCAGGTGATTTTAAGATGATTCGTGTAACCAAGAGACAAAATAAATGTGATCATGATGGCTTAGATAAGTTCAACATGATTTACCTGACCTTGAAATCTTGTCTAGCGTAATCTGTGGCACATTCCACGCCGTCTTCTCAGCTACACATATCCAGTGGAACAAGGTAAACTCCGGGGAAGACATGGAAAACATTGTTTTCCATGTCTTCCCCATTTTCCACACAAAAATGTAATGTGGAAAGGAAACTCAATTGAGTGTAGCGTTCTGGGGCCAAATTCACGAAGCAGTTACGCAAGTACTTAGGAACGTGTAGATCTTTCCTCAATCTTTGACGGCTTTGGTTATATTTATTAAACAGTTTACAAGTATGAAAACTTCCCAATCAACTGCTGTTATTGTTATAAACAGCCTCCTGGTGCTTCGGAGCTCATTAACTGTTTAATAATTGTAAACAAAGCCTCCAAATACTGAGAAAAAATCCACAGCTTCATAAATGCTTGCGCAACTGCTTCGTTAATGTGGCCCCTGTTCTGGGAGCAGCAATAGTTGCCATACAAGCATGAGGTGACCACACGGGCAAAGACGCAACTCAAGTCACATGTTTCTGGTAATGTGTAAGTCACGCGATATGAAACCCAAGACAATACTGGGCGGGCGATGAGTGACAATAACGTGGCTGAAGTATGTTGAATCGACTTGAGAATGGTCCAGGACGGACCGAAACGTCGTCGTCCCTTCACGTCGTCGGGGGGGGGGGGGGGGGTAGAAATAGCCTAAGCTACTCTATCCCTTTGAGATGTATTTCTTTCTTGTCTCAATAAACATACTTGAACTTGTACTGCTATTCCATGGAAATATTCTCCCTCATAGTCGGGAGGATTGTTGACCCCTAGGGGTCAATTCTGTTGACCCCTGGGGGTCAATCCTGTTGACCCCGGGATCAACAACCTCGCCAGTTCGTAGCATCGGAATCATCTTCATCCCAGCGGTTCCTAGCCCACTTAGTCTATAGAGGATCGAAGCCCCAAAAATATGTCCTAACTCTATTATCATCCGGGTACTGAAGGCTTTATCAAGTGAGCTGAACATCTAATTAATTTACCCTGAGTTGTGTATCGTATTAATTAGCATTCAGTGAGCTGTATATCGTATGAAATTAGCGCGGAAGTGAACGTAAGTGAACGTAAGTGAACGTAAGTGAGCTTTGAGAAATATTACCTATTGCTTAGTAAACTCATCATCTTATTGACTAGTTCTTAAGTGAACGATGCTGTTGTAAGACATAAATTACATTAATTATCTTATTAAAGAATTAGATTGATTAATTATCTCATTAATTAGCCTATAAGTACTCTCAATAGCGAATCATTTGTTACTTAATTACACTTAACCTTTCCGTCTTCTTACCTTAAATGACCTGCGAACATTGTTAATTAACACGTGTGATTATGTTCCATGAGATAACTACCAATACTGTTACCACTGTCGGCTTGAGAGTCTTGGCCGCGGGCGAGCAGTGTTGCCATTATTGACTGCAGAGCCTTGACCAGATCCTAACATTCTTGACAATATAGGCTGTAGGCCTAATGCATTATTAAACCTATGTACCTAAAACTTCCCTGTCGTTGTATTTATGTACTCTGCTCCAGCTGTATTAATTCCTAGATTTGTAGGAGAGTAAGAAAACATGCGAATTTACACACAGAAATCACAATTGCGTGATGCATCAAATGAACAAATCCACAAGGGCCGTGACGAGGATTCGAACCTACGTCCGAGAGCATCCCAGACGCTGCCTTAATCGACTAAGCTACGACATGGTCAAAATGAGTTGAAACCGAAGTTCTACTGAACTTACTGGATCCTGCAGCCTCTCCGAGGCACAAACCAGGGTTTTACACAACTCCCCCCTGCACTCGAGCTATGTCAATAGGCCGTTCTCCCTCTTCGCCCTTACTTCATTGCACCTCGAATGACGAATCTCATTGACGAATCCTCGTCACGGCCCTTGTGGATTTGTTCACATGTGAATTTGTTACGATGATGTGAAGTTATATGCATAAATATGTTAATGTTGGAGCTGTGTTTGTCTTCGTGTAAATCTATACTGTGTATCTGTTTATACTTCCTCACCACGATCTGCAGTATCACAGTGTACTTCCTCTAATTACTATGCATTATTTCAGTGTACTTTCCCCAAACCAAAGCTTACCCCTATTTATATGTAAAATTATGCGGGTCTGTGTGGTACCTCCATTAGTAAATTCAAGCCTGAATTAATGGTTCCATTAAATTGTACATAAAAGCTTTGAAGATATATTTGCATGACCAAAAAAATGTTAACTAATGTTCTTGTAGCTCGTATCTAAAAGCGTGTAGTTATGTTTGATAGCTTAAAGGTTATCCCAGAGCTAAGTGGGGTAGTGGGAGTACCACCATTTAATTCACTCCTGTTTTCTTTTTTAAACTAAGATTAGGGTTCATAAGGGCTGACAAATGACGTACCAAGTGAGATTAATTCGTATCTTGTTTGTCTCTCTCTGTCCCTCTCGGGATGGTGGTGCAGGTGGAGGCCCTGGGACGTCCTGCCTCACCTTCCTGGTGCTGGTGGCCTGCTTCACACACCTCCTGCTCCTGCCTTACCTGCTGCTTCCCTGGAACCCCTCCAGTTGATCGCCACCACCTCATCACTCCTACCCACTGCTACAGCAACAACTATTACGTCCTCCACCACCACCACCACCATCACCACCGCTGCTACCACCACCACCACCACCACCATCACCGCTTCCACTGCTGCTCTCCTGATCTCCACTTCTGGTTGTGTTGGCGAGGGGGTCTTAGAAGTCCTTTATAAGGCCTGAGGTGCAAAATGGGCCCTCAGTCTTCAGCTTCCGTTGGGTTGAAGATCTTAGTGCCACCTGCCACTTACCTCTGCTTCTGGAGGTGTCGGGAGCTTCTCTCTCTCTCCTACGGTCACGGAAGCTGGGGCTGTTGGACTGTACTTCCAGAGAATAAAAGAACTTAATGTTCTACAATACGCTTGGCTGAGCAGGTTCCTTTCCTCTTGCGATGGAGGCCTTAGAGACTATAGCTTCCACTAGAGGTCTGAAGGTCTCTATCCTGTGCTCCCGATGTCGCCAGAACACTGAGCATATTATACAAAGGAAGGAAGCTCCTCCCAGGGGCATGGTAGCCATCACCACCTCTCTCTCAAGGTGCCGTTTCTCTTGCACGAGCTGTTGTCCTACCTCAGCTCGTCTGAAGCCTACTCCTGGAAACTCATTTTCTCTCTCTCTCTCTCTCTCTCTCTCTCTCTCTCTCTCTCTCTCTCTCTCTCTCTCTCTCTCTTTCTCTCTCTCTCCAACACTCCGGACCAGAGAACCTCACCAACACAAAACTATATAAATATCTAAACTCACTGTGAATATATAGTATTTAATTTTAGCATGTAAGGGCCTCCCATCTCACGCACTCATACTCACACCTCCTCCTCCTCCTGTAGGAAGAGGCTCACACTCACACTCCTCCGCCTCCTCCTGAGGAGAGTGGCTCACCCCTCACACCTCTCCGCCTCCTCCTGAGGAATGAGGACGCCAGCGAGGAAGGAGGGGAGAGGGAACAGCAGCACCCACAGTAGCACCAGCAGTATGTAGATTTTAACTGTTAATTTAGTGTTGAAAATCAGTCTTCGATAAGTTCCTGCTTCTCCTGACGAAGGAGGAGGACGTTCACTCAGCCCAGGTAAATCTTCAAGTATTAGTTGTTGATCTTCCTTGAAGTTCAAGACCTCAATAAGTGGTGGAGGAAGATGACGAAGGAGGGCCCTGGTGGTCCAGCCCTCAGGAGGGTTGCTAGGAGGGTCTTGGCTACGGAGACGCCTGCGTCGGTAGGATCACAGCGGCCCAAGTTAAGGAAAAATCTCTCGATAAGTTTATTGGCTTAAGAAGAGGATCAAGTATTGAGGATGTCGAAGGGGCTGAGAGATGAGAAAGTATTTGGCAAAAGTTGTGTATTTCCTAGCGCTGTGAGGAGAGAGAGAGAGAGAGAGAGAGAGAGAGAGATCAGAGAGAAAGATCATCCATCTGACGCACTTGTCAACTATATATATATCTCGGTCATCACCAAATATAACCAGATTCAGAAAATACAAACTTGTGCTGATTATATATATATATATATATATATATATATATATATATATATATATATATATATATATATATATCGTTGATATATATATATAGAATATATTATACTCGTTGATCAGTTAATTGATGAATATAGAATAATGACTAATCTGTTTATTATACTCATGGTAACACACACTCTCTCTCTCTCTCTCTCTCTCTCTCTCCTCTCTCTCTCTCTCTCTCTCTCTCACTATCCCCCTCTCTATGACCTCTCTCTCTCTATCTCTCTCTCTCTCTCTCTCTCTCTCTCCTCACTATCCCCCACCTATGACCAGATATAAGATATAAGATATACTACTCCCCGGTTATATCACTACTCCTCCCCGGTTATATCACAGCGACAGTTGTGTTCCTGTCCGCCGGGCCTGTCTGTGTCTGTCTCTGAAGACGGCTTCAGTTTCACCCTGCGTCTCTTGTCCGTCAATCCTTCAGTATACAACCATACCATTATCTGGTGGGATATACTGACCGCATTGTTGCTTCATTATACACTTGTGGCTACACTGCGTTGAATTATATTATTATATTGTGTAATTATATAAAGTGTAATTAACTTTGTAATAGAGTGTGGTTATGTGGACTCTAGTAAACAGCTATAAAGTGAGTGTTGTGTATTGTTTACCCTTGACAGGTGTTTAGAGGTCAAGGGGAACTGTTTGTGAGGTTAAGGTCGTGAGTTTCTTGACCTCAGATTATCTTCTTGAGGTTATCTTGAGATGATTTCGGGGCTTTAGTGTCCCCGCGGCCCGGTCCTCGACCAGGCCTCCACCCCCAGGAAGCAGCCCGTGACAGCTGACTAACACCCAGGTACCATTTTACTGCTAGGTAACAGGGGCATAGGGTGAAAGAAACTCTGCGCATTGTTTCTCGCCGGCACCCGGGATCGAACCCGGGACTACAGGATCACAAGTCCAGTGTGCTGTCCGCTCGGCCGACAGGCTCCCTTGGTCCCATTCCCAGAGTATGGGAATTTCTTGACCTCAGGGTAGTCACTAAGGCCACTCGACAACTGAGTCTGTAGAGCTAAGCAGTCCGTCCTCCGGAGGTTTCCCAACGTCCAGAAAATGGTCGATTTAAAGTGCCCTTATCCTAACCTACCAGAGGACCCAAAACAGAAAACGGGGACATTACATCGCTTTGGCCAGCCGCTATCATTTCCCAGAACGTCGATTTTTGGCCTTATATAACGCATACGAGCGAAAAACAACGTTCTTTGTATGAGGAGTCGTTGTACCCGTTTTCTTCAACACATTAGAGGCTCACAAGGCTCGTTTGTCAAGCCTCTGATTTTGAAAACGCTCAGTTTTTTGGTTCTACTGCCGGTGTCGGTGTCTGAGCGGACAGAACACTGGACGCGTGATCCTGTGGTCCCGGGTTCGATCCCGGGCGCCGACGAGAAACAAGACTACATAAAGAATTTTTTTATTTTTTGTATTAACATATTAGGTACATCTGCATTTGTGCAGCTGCCCTAGAATATGAAGGGGAGTACAGTGTCACAAAGCTAGCTACGTGATGCTAAAAATCCCCATCACACATATGGTTAGTCATACAGGGCTTAGTCTTAATGAGGATATCACAAGATACTAAGATAGCAGTGATACTAGAAGTCCCCATCTCGCAGGAGGGTTAGTTATAAAGGGCCAGAGTCATATTTTTTTTTTTTTATTAACATATTAGGTACATCTGCATTAGTGCAGCTACCCTAGACTATATGAAGTGGAGTACAGTGTGTCAAAAAAGCTAACTAGGTGATGCTAAAAAATCCCCATCACACAGGATGGTTAGTCATACAGAGGCATGTGATAAGCGGTCTGCACTGGCAGACTCCGGATGCATTTTGAGGATATCAACAACACAAGATTGAATAAGGTAGCAGTGGTAATACAAGTCCCCATCTCGCAGGATGGTTAGTCATACAGAGCCATGTGTTTAATAGCCTGCACTGACAAATTTTGGGTATACTGTGAGGATATCTTCAAGAATACGAGAGTGAATAAAGTAATTGCAAAGCTCCAGGTACCTCATGCCAACTGGTCTGAAAGGTCTAATAACTGGGCATTCAGTGATGTAGTGCGGGAGATCATGCCGTAGTTCCTGCTCACAGAGTTTGCAACTGGAGTGCTCAGGATTGGGAGACCCGTCACCTGCAGCCACCTGCCACAGGTAACGGTAACCCAACCTGATCCTTGCAACCACTGTGTCGCACAGTCTAGTGGACGTTTTGTGCTGTCCATAGATGTAGGTTTCAGATCTGAACAAATCATAGCTTTTTATACTAGTACTTTCAGGTCGTTGGGAGTCAGTAAGTTCTTTCCTATCAGATCTGAATGTTTGGACCAATACAGTTTTGACAGCAGAGATGGGGATACCTAGATCTAATTCAACTTCAAACTTGTTACACGCTAATTTGGCTGCAATGTCTGTCTCATTATGATGGGTTATATTTATGTGTGAAGGTAGAGTCATATCACAATCCATCCCCAAAATAACTCTACGGCGCACGCACACAACATTTCATTACGTGTCAAGGCGTACTGAATAGCGAATATGCCCTCCAATTGAGCTTCCATATACCCAGCCACTGCACCAATACTCGTCAAAATAAAAATCTAGCAATCAGTTATGATAACTAATGCTTCATCTGCTCTATAGGACTCCAAACCTATTAAGCAAAATTTCATGCTGTATCAGTCTCACGACAATAGTTAGCACTCCTTCGTGACCAAGACAGTCTACATACTGTATGAAGGGATAATACTGATAAGTTTCTCTATGTGTACTAAGACAAAAACAACAATCATTCCTTGCAATATAAATAAGAAAGATAATTTGGTAATAGAGCTGTGAACAGTTGATTGTCTCTTAAGTAAATAACTAAGTACAAGGATATAAGTGTTCTCGGAAATTACAAAGGGTCACGTACACAGTAAGTTCAGGCTCTAAATATTTGGCTTGGGTAACACCTCTTCCATTAATATTGAATGAACTATTTCATAACAATCACCATCAGATTCGTTTCTCAGCTCATTATACTCCGGCTAGGAAGCCGGTCGGCCGAGCGAGGAAGCCGGTCGGCCGAGCGGACAGCACGCTGGATTTGTGATCCTGTGGTCCTGGGTTCGATCCCAGGCGCCGGCGAGAAACAATGGGCAGAGTTTCTTTCACCCTATGCCCCTGTTACCTAGCAGTAAAATAGGTACCTGGGTGTTAGTCAGCTGTCACGGGCTGCTTCCTGGGGGTGGAGGCCTGGTCGAGGACCGGGCCGCGGGGACACTAAAGCCCCGAAATCATCTCAAGATAACCTCATTATACTCCCAATATTATACACAATGTTTGCAGAAATTTTATAACACAGGGTTAGCGGTTTTTTCAGTAACAAAAACATTTAAACAATAGAGCACCAATAACCAATAATAAATTACTCAAATAAAGTCATATAAATATATATATATATATGGGCATATATGCATATGTATACATAAAGTATACCTGCTGGTTGATCAGTTAGCTATTGTGGTGGCCTTAATAACCCACCAGAGGCTGAAGCCCAACACCAAACTAATGTCAATTATTCACTCCAATTCTAGGCCAAACTAGCAGCTATAAGACAAGCCTTCAGAAGTCTAAACAAAGTAACCTTCTCAACACTATGCAGCCTACATCAGACTAACTTTGAATATGCAGCTCCAGTAATGAACCCACATCAAAACATGGCATAAACCCAAAAAAGTATTACATAGTAACCTTAAACTCACCACTTTGATCAAAATTCGAGTTAGGAATATGATTATACCGTAAAAAATACGAAAGACAAGGAGGAAATGATCATTCAGGACTCAGGCAGAACCAAAGGACACGGAAGGTAAGGTAAGGTTTGTACAGTTGTACAGTTGTAAGTTGTACCGGCGTTAAGCCGATACAACCATGTAGTACTTGGGAAGGATACGAGGATAAACAAATGGGATATGACCGAGGGTAGGAATGATTCAGGAGACCAAAGGGACAGTACACAATGAAGGGGAACAGCCTACCTGTGACGACGCGAGAAAGAGACCTGGGATTGGACGTAACACCTAATCTAACTCCTGAGACACATGTAAATAGGATATCGATAGCAGCGTTCTCTACACTGGTAGAAGTTAGAACATCATTCAGAAACCTAAGTGAGGAGGCTTTTAGGGCGCTTTACACTGCCTACGTGAGACCAGTCTTAGAGTATGCCGCCCCATCATGGAGTCCCCACCTGAAGAAACACACAAGGAGACATTTAGGGCGCTTTACACTAGGAACTGAACCTGACGACACTAGGAAAAAAAGAAGGGAGAGATATGATAGAAACATAAAAAATATAACAAATAACAGGGGGATTGACAGAGAGGACATAGACGAAATGTTCACACGGAACAGTAACAGAACGAGGGAACATGGGTGGAAGCTGGAACCTCAGATGAGTCGCAAAGATGTTAGAAATTTTCTTTTAGCGAGAGAGTAGTCGACAAATGGATTGCACTTAAGGAACAGGTTGTGGAAACCAAACTCTATAAATAATATTAAATCTAGGTATGAAAGGGAAATAGGCCCGGCTGTAAACAACCGGCCGGCAGCTAGAAAGGCGGGATCCAAGAGCCAGAGCTCGATCCCGCAGGCACAAATAAGCCGTACAGAGTGTTGGGACGTAGCCTCGTGCTGTGGCGACACAACAACACACGTGTAATGGTAATAAATTACCATTGCTATTTAATTGCTTAATTGGTAATTGCCATTTAAAACCTGCGAGGTCTCGTATGTCCGTGGCAGGAACAGTTCTCCAGAGCCAGGTGCGTCCTCAGATGCGTCGTCAGGTGCGTCGTCAGGTGCGTCCTCAGGTGCGTCCTCAGGTGCGTCCTCAGGTGCGTCCTCAAGTGCGTCCTCAGGTGCGTCCTCAAGTGCGTCCTCAGGTGCGTCCTCAGGTGCGTCCTCAAGTGCGTCCTCAGGTGCGTCCTCAGGTGCGTCCTCAGGTGCGTCGTCAGGTGCGTCCTCAGGTGCGTCCTCAGGTGCGTCCTCAGGTGCGTCCTCAAGTGCGTCCTCAGGTGCGTCCTCAAGTGCGTCCTCAGGTGCGTCCTCAGGTGCGTCCTCAAGTGCGTCCTCAGGTGCGTCCTCAGGTGCGTCCTCAGGTGCGTCCTCAAGTGCGTCCTCAGGTGCGTCCTCAGGTGCGTCCTCAAGTGCGTCCTCAGGTGCGTCCTCAGGTGCGTCCTCAAGTGCGTCCTCAGGTACGTCCTCAGGTGCGTCCTCAAGTGCGTCCTCAGGTACGTCCTCAGGTGCGTCCTAAAGTGCGTCCTCAGGTGCCACACACAGGCTAGGAACCTCACTATTGATAACGCTCCCCAAATCTTCGGGGAAAATGAAGTAATACCAAGACAAAATACCTCGCCTGCATTCTCTTTATATATATATATATATATATATATATATATATATATATATAATAAGCCAAGTATATATAAATATATATAGATATATATATACCTAACCAAACCTATATATAGGTATAGGTTATTATAGGTAGGTTAGGTAGACGAAAAAACATTAATTCATGAAAACTTGGCTTATATATATATATTAGGTACGACATATATATATATATATATATATATATATATATATATATATATATATATATATATAATATATATATATATATATATATATATATATATATATATATATATATATATATATATATATATATATATATATATATATATATAATTTTGGTATCAGTCTTTCCTGTAGACATATATTATTAAATATGACCGAAAAAGTAAGATTAATAATTCTAACACGAATTTTCTCTATCTTTCTTATGTTTCTTTTCACTGTTGATGGTAATTCAAAGATCAATTCTCAAAAATTCATTTTTATTTCTAGTCTGACGCGACACTTGAGCGCGTTTCGTAAAACTTATTACATTTTCAAAGACTTTAGTTTACAAACACACAACTGAAACTGAATAGAGCTTTACACATCTTCGAGGTTTATATCTACATTTGGGTGAGGTGGATGAGGTGAAAAACGAACTTTCAACAATGGGTATTCAATGGGTATTAAATTCCAACACAAGACAGAACACGAAACAATGGGTATTGAATGGGTATTAAATTCAAACACAAGACAGAACACGAAACAATGGGTATTGAATGGAAGTAATTGTAGAAAGCCTATTGGTCCATATTTCTTGATGCTTCTATATTGGAGCGGAGTCTTGAAGTGGGTAGAATATAATTGTGCATTAATTGGCTGTTGATTGCTGGTGTTGACTTCTTGATGTGTAGTGCCTCGCAGACGTCAAGCCGCCTGCTATCGCTGTATCTATCGATGATTTCTGTGTTGTTTGCTAAGATTTGTGTTGTTTGCTAAGATTTGTTTGCTAAGAAATCTTAGCAAACAACACAGAAATCATCGATAGATACAGCGATAGCAGGCGGCTTGACGTCTGCGAGGCACTACACATCAAGAAGTCAACACCAGCAATCAACAGCCAATTAATACACAACTATATTCTACCCACTTCAAGACTCCGCTCCAATATAGAAGCATCAAGAAATATGGACCAATAGGCCTTCTACAATTACTTCCATTCAATACCCATTGTTTCGTGTTCTGTCTTGTGTTTGAATTTAATACCCATTCAATACCCATTGTTTCGTGTTCTGTCTTGTGTTAGAATTTAATACCCATTGAATACCCATTGTTGAAAGTTCGTTTTTCACCTCATCCACCTCACCCAAATGTAGATATAAACCTCGAAGATGTGTAAAGCTCTATTCAGTTTCAGTTGTGTGTTTGTAAACTAAAGTCTTTGAAAATGTAATAAGTTTTACGAAACGCGCTCAAGTGTCGCGTCAGACTAGAAATAAAAATGAATTTTGGAGAATTGATCTTTGAATTACCATCAACAGTGAAAAGAAACATAAGAAAGATAGAGAAAATTCGTGCTAGAATTATTAATCTTACTTTTTCGGTCATATTTAATAATATATATATATATATATATATATATATATATATATATATATATATATATATATATATATATATATATATATATATATATATATATATTATATATATATATATATTTACAGTTATAAGTTCACGTTATGCACATGTCAATCCACTGCCTGTCGTCTATGACGCACCAATAAGGACTCTTAATCACACTATGTCAGCACACTAAAAACCCCCGAAATCATCTCAAGATAACCTCAAGATAACCGTCCACTGCTGTTGCCCACGTGGGGAATTTCAACGCGTTTTCCCATCCAAGGTCGACAAATTTCCCCCTCGTCTCCCCCTCACACTCCTCCTCCTCCTCCAAACACCGAGCTAATAACCTGCTTGCCGGAGATCGAGCCCCCTATTTCTGTCGTTTATATCGCTGGACCACGAGATGAGCATGTATTTATGTCTCTGGGGACTGAGCCAAGCGCTGACTATGCCAATGTGCTTGTTCACTATCAGTGTGCTTGTTGTCTGGGTCGGCGACTCTGATTGGCCGCTCGCCTCCCACCACCAGCGGCGCAGTTCTGGCCCCCAAACTACACCAACTATCTCGTGTTCTTCTTCAACACTCTAACATATTCTACTTTTAAATCACAATTTTAATCTTGGTGAGATGAATTAACACGTCCAGATACCCTTTCGTAACAACATGTGTACACACACACACACACACACACACACACACACACACACACTTAGGAACCGGACCAAAGCGGGACCAAAGAGCCAGAGCTCAACCCCCGCAAACACAACTAGGTGAGTACACACACACACACACACACACACACACACACACACACACACACACACACACACACACACACACACACACACACACACACACATCACCTCAACCCCCAAAACCCGTCCAGCCCTCATCCCCTCAACCCCCAAAACCCACCCAGCTCTCATCCCCTCAACCCCCAAAACCCATCCAGACCTCATCCCCTCAACCCCAAGAACCCACCCAGACCTCATCCCCTCAACACCCAAAGCCTACCCTGCCCTCACCCCTCCTCATCCCCTCTCCTTCCATGTGACCCCCCACCCTTGCGAGGGAGGTGGGAGGTCCCCCCCACCCCCTCTATCCTTCCCCCTCCCAACCTCTCAACCTCTATCTGTCTCCCAACCTTACGCTATCTCCCAACCCCTCTATGCCCTCCCTAATCTTCAGACCCAGTATGCCCTTCCTACTCCAGACCTACCTACCCAGGCCCTACCCCAGACCCTCCTACCTACCTTCCTAGAAGCCCAGCCCCCAGTAGCCCCCCAAGCACCCCTCCTGAACTCTTTCACCCCCCATACACCCCCCGGACCCCCCCAGACACCCCCCGGATCCCCCCGGACATCCCCCGGACCCTCCCCGCCCCCAGTCATCCCCCAGACACCCCCCAGATCCCCCGGATCCCCTCTGCCCCCAGTCACCCCCCAGACATCCCCCAGATCCCCCCAGACCCCCAGAGAAAGGGAGAACTCTGGTACAAGAGTTTCCATGAAGAATCTCAAGGTTTGGTACACCAATGCTGATGGGGTATCTAATAAAGCAGAAGAGATAAAAGAAAGAGTGAGTGAAGCAGATCCTGACATAGTTGCAATTGTGGAAACTAAAATTAATGACATGATCTCAGATGCAATCTTTCCTGAAGGGTACCAGGTGATACGAAAAGAGAGGACACAGAGACAGGGAGGGGGAGTAGCACTCCTAATAAAGCGGAAATGGAAGTTTGAAGACCTGGGAAATCGAGTTACCAATGAGTGCACAAGCTTCATACATGGAACTCTGACAGTAGATGGGAGGAAGATTGTGATCATGGTAATCTACAATCCCCCACCAAACAGTAGAAGACCCAGGCAGGAGTATGATGACAACAACAAAGCATGTATAGATGAACTGCAGAAGGCAGCAACACTAGCCCACAGAATGAGAGCGAAGCTGCTGATCATGGGGGACCTAAATCATGGAGAGATAAATTGGGAATCAAGGAATCCCCATGGAGGGGACGAAACGTGGGGAGCAAAATTAGTAGATGTTATAGACAGGAATTTCCTGACACAACATGTGAAGGAAGACACAAGGGAAAGAGGAGGAGATGCACCGAGCCTATTAGACCTGATTTTCACCCAGAACGTAGAAGATATCGAGAATTTAGAGCATGAAATACCTCTAGGGGCCAGTGACCATTGTGTCCTAGTCTTTGACTACATGATGGAATTCAAAATTATGACCATGGGACAAGAGATCTGGGAAAGGAGAGCTGACTACAGGAAAGGGGACTATATGAGGATAAGGGACTATCTGGGTGAAGTGCAGTGGGAGGAAGAAATTAGAGGAAAAACAGTCCAAGATATGATGGACCTAGTCATACAGAAATGCCAGGAGGCCGAAGAGAGATTTATACCAACGGTAAAGGGAAAAAATAAGAAGGAATATAATAACCCATGGTTTAATAGACAGTGTCAGGAAGCAAAAATGGCCAGCAGGCGGGAGTGGAGGAAGTACAGAAGACAAAGAACAGAGGACAACAGAAGCAGATACAACAGAGCTAGGAACGATTACATTAACATAAGACGAACATCGGAAAGGGACTATGAGAACGATATTGCAATCAAAGCGAAAAAACAACCTAAGTTACTACACAGTCATATAAGAAGAAAAATGTCGGTGAACGACCAAGTGACAAGACTAAGGAAGACAGAGGGGGCATATACTGAAAGTGACAAGGAAATCTGCGAGGCACTGAATGCCAGTTTCCATGGAGTGTTCACTACCGAGCCTGAGCAGCTCCCATTGTTGGAAGGGGTTACCCTAGATGAAAGACTATCAGATATAGAGGTGACAGCAGAGGAGGTAATGAAACAGTTGACAACTCTAGATGCAACTAAAGCAGTTGGACCAGACAAAGTATCACCGTGGATACTAAAAGAAGCAGCACAGGCCCTCAGCGTGCCTCTGGCAATGATCTTTAATGAGTCACTTATGTCAGGAGAATTGCCCAGTTGCTGGAAGAAGGCAAATGTCGTGCCGATCTTCAAGAAAGGAGATAGGGAGGAGGCACTTAACTACAGACCTGTATCACTGACAAGCATCCCCTGTAAAATACTGGAAAGAATAATTAGGCTACGACTGGTTGCACACCTGGAGAACATTAGGTTTGTGAACAAACATCAACATGGGTTCTGGACAGGGAAATCGTGCCTAACAAACCTTCTGGAATTCTATGATAAAATAACGAGGATAAGACAG